CTCAGCAAACTTGGATAGGGTGACATTCTGTTTATAGTGAAGAAGGTGAAGACTTCCAAATTGTTTCCATACTTTGAAACCGTTTTTTTACAACTGCAGCCTATCATAGCCAACATCAGTGCATAGTTGCACTATTTCACTGAGCGGGTGTGCTAGGAAAAGGCTATAACACAAAAACCGGAATAATGTAAGGTTAATATATATATATTTTAAAACTAGCTGTACCCACCACACGTTGCTGTGGCCCAGTCAGGTGATCTGGGAAATAAAGTAATGACAAAGTGTTGTAATTTCTTTATGCTTGTTGGGTAAGCAGTGTTTCTTGTTGTTACTTTGTCAGTGTTGATGTGGAGACTGTCTGTTTTCCCTACTCCAGAGCATGCAACATATAATTGTCCTTCTTTAGGGGTCCCTTTCAAATCTATGCTACTATACCTCTCTGTGTGTGAATTATATCTATCAATATCTATGGCTGGATGGCTCTTTGTCGGGAGGGCTTTAATTATGTTTTCTTGCCCTGGGGAAGGGAGTTGGACTGGATGGCCTTAAGTATTTTCTGTTGGTCTTGGGGGTTCTGTGTGGGAAGTCTGCCCCAATTCTGTCGTTGATGGGGTTCAGAATACTCTTTGATTGTATGTGAACTATAAATCCAAGCAACTACATCTCCCAAATGTCAAGGTCTATTTTCCCCAAACTCCATCTGTGTTCACATTTGGGCATATTGAGTATTTGTGCCAAGTTTGGTCCAGATCCATCATTGTTTGAGTCCACAGTGCTCTCTGGATGTAGGTGAATTACAACTCCCTAACTCAAGGTCAATGCCCACCAAACCCTTCTAGCATTTTCTGTTGGTCACGGGAGTCCTGTGTGCCACGTTTGGTTCAATTCCATCATTGGTGGAGTTCAGAATGGTCTTGGATTGCAGGTGAACTATAAATCCCAACAACCACAACTCCCAAATGAGAAAATATTTTTTTTAGTGAAGGACATACATTGGGTTGTTAGGTGTCTTGTGTCCAAATTTGGCAGCAATTTGTCCAGTGGTTTTTGAGTTCTGTGAATACCACAAACTAACATTACATTTTTATTTATATAGATGAACAATATTTTCACCAATAAGTGAAAAAGATCTGTTTGATTGTGTTCATAGCATAAGTCTTAAGTATCTTAAGTGGGTTCAGTCACAAAGATGAAATAATGAAGCATATTTAACCATTTCGTCAACATTGTGGTGTTTTATTTCCATAATCTGTACACACGGGGTCAAGCAAAGCATTGTATGCCAAATACAAATTAACATCGCCTTCAAATGAATGAAAAAATAAATCACCATCCTTTCAGGCTTTGTTAACATTGTCACTTCAATTTTTTTGCTGCTTTTTATAAAATGCCTTCCAACTTGAAGTCCAAGGCTGGTGAGTGAGGTTCATTTTGACAGGACAAAATCAGAGCTAGCCCTAATGTTAGGTAGAGTGATGTGGCCATCTTAGACACTGAATGAGAGAGTGTCATGAAAAGTCAGCAAATTATGGTGGCAATTCTGCTTTAGATGCAAAAACAACTTGTCAGGAATGGCTGGAGTTTGCCGTATCAGTGCTGTAATCAATCTACCCTATATATTCACGTAAAGGTCTAAAACCTTTAGTAAACATAAATTAAAAACTTGGGTAGATTTATCAATGATTAACTGTGGGTACTGTATTTTACCTCTTATCCAAAAGGACCCATCTCCTCTTTGAGTTGAATAGTGTAAGGCAACAGCTTAGTCCATTCCTGGAGATCCTCTGAGGCAGTGCTGGTGCTTTCAGCCCTCCATGGAATGACCTCCCACTTGTCCACGGATCATATCAAAATCCATAATATTGCTCCAAACCTGCTGTCAACATATACATGAGGTCTACTTATATATTAGTATATCGTATCTTATCCAATTTGTTGCCGATCCACTCCTTTGGGCTTCACGCAAATCTACCATTTGTCAAAATATATGATCCTGTGTTTTTCTTTACAAGTTCTGACCAAATAGATTAACCATTGGTTCATTCCATCAAATTCAAGGTCTGCCCAAGGGCTGCTTGTGGTCTCTTGGTATCCACGAACAAAAGACAACCAATTGACATGTTGACTAATGACCTGGATACCAAGAAACCACCTGAGTATATACAGTTCTTCAAATATGCTATCCAAGGTACTGAACCAATTTTTGGGGCATCAGCCCTTCACATTTGTAGGTTTTCACTTTTGCAATTTTTTTGTATGGGGCATCAGCCCTCCACATTTGTAGGTTTTCACTTTTGCATGGATCTGATTAATTTCTTCTCTCAGAATCTCTAAGTTCTCTGGTAGAAATAGCACCGGGACTGTGGCGCAGCTGGCTGGGAGTCAGCTGCATTAAGATCACTACTGACCAAAAGGTCATGAGTTCGAAGCCAGCCAGGGTCGGAGTGAGCTTCTGACCAATTTGTGTAGCTTGCTGTCAACCTTTGCAGCACAAAAGACAGTTGCATCTGTCAATTTAGGTACCACTTATGCGGGGAGGCTAATTTATGATGCCATAAAAATCTCCAGCATGCATGCAAACAATGAGGAAGTACTTCATCAGTGTCACAAATGGACAGTGAAGTGACAGCTCCCCTGGTGGCCAGAATTTCCTTTGAAAAAGCTGGAATGTTAAATAGCCTCTGTGTGTCTGTCTATATATGTTGTGCGTCTATGGCATTGAATATTTACCATGTATATGTACATTGTAATCCGCTCTGAGTCCTCTGCAGGGTGAGAAGGGTGGAATATAAATACTGTAAATAAAAAAAAATGAGCCATGCCATTGTGGTTTTGGGATGCTGCACTTATTGACTTTGGAAACTGGGAGAAGGAGTTGCCATTAATACTGCGTCTCTTGGGTTGTTCCTGGCCAAAAGGCACAATGAGATAGAGCAGGGGTAGGGAACCTTTGGCCCTCCAGCTGTGGTGGACTTCAACTCCCACAATTCCTTGAGGCTCGGCATTCGCCCCAAAGGCTTACCTTGGCCCAATGCCGAGCCTCAAGGAATTGTGGGAGTTGAAGTCCACCACAGCTGGAGGGCCACAGGTTCCCTACCCCTGAGATAGAGCAATGTCATAACATGGATTTGGCTCTCCAAGTCTCCTATAGCCCCATTTTTCAGTCCCATAATAATTTTCACTGGGAGAAGCCAGAGATTCATATTGGGATGATCTGTAGCAGTGCTACTTATGTACTCATTAGGGGCTAAATACAATGAACGGTGTATATTAGGCCTGGGTAACAACGGAAAAATTTGTTTCTAAAATCGATTTGTATTTGGGGGTTTTTTTTGTTTCGATATTTAAAATAATTACAAAATTTTCCTTTTAAAAAGTTCGATATTTACGAAATTTCGTAAATGGTAAAAAATCAACGAATCGATTTCCGAAACAATAACGAATCGATTCGTTAATGGCGGACGCGACCGCGAAATACGCTAAAAAACCTCCAAAACCTTCTGAAGCTTCCCTCTCCCTCTGTTGTTGACTGTTGGTGTGATATTATAATTTTTTTTCACTAATTAAACCATAAAACTGGCCCAGACATGCGGAAATAATAACGAAACGACCTCAAAACAATAACGAAACGAATACAATATCGAAATACGAAGCATTTACAAAACGTTTTCGAAAATTCGTTTTTTTAATAATTGCTCCAGAATGGTTCGTTATCGTTTTGTAATTGAAAAAATTAACGAATTATTAACGAATTACGAATTAACGAAACGAAACCGCCCAGCCCTAGTGTATATGTGTTGAATGGACCCATCTACCTAGTTCTACTGAATTCTTCAGTGTGTGTGTATATATGTGAGTGCATGAGTGGGTGAGGCAATCACATGGAATAATTGTAACAGTTTAATATCACTTTCATTGCTTGCATCATATTCTAACAACCTCATGCAAATATAAATCTCAGGTTTCCATGTTTTATTTGTCGTGTCAGGGCAACCAGGTGTGGAACACATCTCACCACACTAAAACAGTGGATGTGGCTCTTAATGAGACATGCCGCATTATTACGGGGTGTCTGCGCCCTACACCACTGGAGAAATTACACTGTTAGCCGGTATTGCACCACCTGACATCCGCTGGGAAGTAGCAGCCAATAGCGAAAGGACCAAGGCAGAGACATCTCCAGCTCATCCCCTGTTTGGGTATCAGCCAGCACGTCAACGACTTAAATCAAGAAATAGTTTTCTAAGATCTACAGAGACACTCGCTGGAACATCCCAGCAAGCGAGAGTCCAAAAGTGGCAGGCTCAAACCCAGAACCTCAACCAATGGCTGATACCAAATGAGAGACTCCCCCCTGGGCACACAGAGAACTGGGCGACTTGGAAGGCGCTGAACAGACTGCGCTCTGGCACCACGAGATGCAGAGCCAACCTTCAGAAATGGGGCTACAAAGTGGAATCCTCGACATGCGAGTGTGGAGAAGAGCAAACCACTGACCACCTGCTGCAATGCAACCTGAGCCCTGCCACATGCACAATGGAGGACCTTCTTGTGGCAACACCAGAGGCACTCCAAGTGGCCAGATACTGGTCAAAGGACATTTAATCAACTACCAAACTCACAAATTTTGTATTTTGTCTGTTTGTTTGCTTTGTTCTGTTAGAAATGTAATATAATTGACTGGTTGCCCTGACACGAGGTTTCTATGTGATGCAGCCTTAACCGTTGATGTGGTATCAAAGTGCTACAACTCTGTACTACGGATACACTCTGTTGTTCTGCTGATGCAGCTCACCAGTTCAAATAAGGATTTTTCTGTATTAAACCTCATTGTAAAACTTTGGAACAAATGGACTCAGACATTTAAGTGGAGATATCTTTCTCTGCATCAAAACTATTTCTGCTTTCATCCGAAGGATTGAATCAATCATTATTGAAGTTTTCAACATTTTTTAAAAACAGTGAAGTTATCATAAAAACAATTTTAAAATGATCGGAATGGCCATATCAATATTTATTGAAATACTGGAAATAAAAATCCATTGGTGTTGAGAAAATTCCTGGCAAGAACTGACATGAAACAACATGAACTTTACAGATACAGTAAGAGACCTTTTAACAAGTAACTGCACATTCTAAAAGAGTCGCATGGATTCAAAAGCCAGGCAGCTGCAGAATATAGTTGTCATTACAAATATTCAGACACTACAGTTTGTCTGGTTACAAACACCGAACAACGATAAGAAACCAGCCAAAGCCAAAACCGTTGTGTTTTAGTCTGCTTTTACTCATATGCCATCAATAAAGCAATTGTAAGTAAATGTCTGATTACAAAGTGGTTAGCAATTAACATTCATTTTGCAAATTGGGAAAACTGGAGGGATTTCAGGAATCCACAGGTATTGGCTACTATATGTCCTGCCATTTCTACTCATGATTCTTTGCCTTTAACGTCTTTACCTTAATGAATTGGTTTTATCTAAAGAGAGCTGTGCTTTGCTCAGAGGCGGCCCTAGGTAATTTGCAACGGTAAGCAAACAGTAATTTGGTGCCCCCCCCCCCAACCAATCATTGATATATATTTTCTGTTCGTCATGGGAGTTCTGTGTGCCATATTTGGTTCAATTCCATCTTTGGTGGAGTTCAGAATGCTCTTTGATTGTAGGTGAACTATACATCCCAGTAACTACAACTCACATATGTCAAGGTCTATTTTCCCCCAAGAGTGCCTCAAGAGCACCCCTGGGCAAAACCAACTATACTGCGAATGCTTACTTTGCGTAATGGTTGAGACACCCCTGGCTTTGCTAGTTCTTTTGTTTTTAGTGAAATGTTTCGAAAAAACAAAAAAGTCAAGGGGTTTCCAAAATGTAGACAGGTGAATGTCATATTTACCTTTAATTGCTGCTGATGCTAACTTGTTTTCTAACTTATATAAAACTATCATATATATTGGGTGAAAGATTTTCAAAGACATAGCTAATGGGATATGGTGTCGGAAAAAAAAATAGAAGAGTTGCCTATTGTTTGATAACCTCATTTCTTTTTTGTCATGTCAGGAGTGACTCCTGTGTGAGAGAATTGGCCGTTTGCAAGGACGTTGCCCAGGGGACGCCTGGATGAGTTGATGTTTTTATCATCCTTGTGGGAGGCTTCTCTCATGTCCCCACATGAGGAGCTGGAGCTGATAGAGGGAGCTCATCCACCTCTCCCCGGATTCGAACCTGCGACCTGTTGGTCTTCAGTCCTGCCAGCACAGGGCTTTAATCCACTGCACCACCGGGGGCTCCGATAACCCCATTATTGCTGCTAATGCAAATGGTAGAACTAAGAGTCTGTTTTATAGGTGGCAACCTTTTGAGTTACAAGCCATTGTCTCAAGACTGATACCAATGCTGCTTTATCTGCTGCTCACTTTAGTACTTTTAGGGTATTGATGACAATGGCAGTTCTACAATTAAAGTATTATGATTCCACATTAACAGCCATGCCTGGGATTTATAGTGTGATGGAGTTCTCCGCCTGAGAAATTCTAAATTCCCTCCATAAACTGCAAAACCCAGTATTCCATAGGATGTCGCCATGGCGGGTAAAGTGGGATGCATGTTATAATTGGGTTGTTGTAGGTTTTTTCGGGCTATATGGACATGGTCTAGAGGCAGTCTCTCCTGATGTTTCATCTGCATGGTTTTTTTTGGGCTATATGGCCATGGTCTAGAGGCATTCTCTCCTGACGTTTCACCTGCATCTATGGCAAGCATCCTCAGAGGTAGTGAGGTCTGTTGGAACTAGGAAAAAGGGTTTATATATCTGTGGAATGACCAGGGTGAGACAAAGGACTCTTGTCTACTGGAGCTAGGTGTGAATGTTTCAACTGACCACCTTGATTAGCATATAATGGCCTGACAGTGCCTAGAGCAAACTTTTGTTGAGAGGTGTTATAATTGTGTGGCGTGTTGTTGTGCTTTTGTAATTTTAGAGTTTAGAGAAAGGCACCGCAGACTACTTCAGCCAGAGAAATCAGCCATAGCAGACCACCTGATGAACCAACCTGGACACAGCATTTTATTTGAGAACACAGAAATGCTGGACCACTCTCACAACCACCATGTCAGACTACACAGAGAAGCCATTGAAATATACAAGCATGTGGACAATTTCAACAGAAAGGAGGAAACCATGAAAATGAACAAAATCTGGCTACCAGTATTAAAAAAAACTCTAAAATTACAACAGCACAACAACAGAGAGGAAACAAACAAGGACATCTAATCACCTCTCAACAAAGTTTGCTCTAGGCACTGTCAGGCCATTATATGCTAATCAAGGGGGTCAGTTGAAACATTCCCACGTAGCTCCAGCAGACAAGAGTCCTTTGTCCCACCCTGGTCATTCCACAGATATATAAACCCTTTTTCCTAGTTCCAACCAGACCTCACTACCTCTGAGGATGCTTGACATAGATGCAGGTGAAACGTCAGGAGTGAATGCCTCTAGAACATGGCCATATAGTCCGAAAAAACCAACAACAACCCAGTGATTCCGGCCATGAAAGCCTTTGACAATACAGTGTTATAATTGTGTGACGTGAACAAACCACAGGAGAGAGGTGAAAACTAAATCTCAATTTGGTTTTCTCTTTCTTGCTCAATTTTCAGTTCTTTAGTTGACTTTGTGCTTTACTTTGAGAAACTTCCCATTCTTCTGCTTCATGCATCCTAAGTGATGCAATTTTGGAAAAAAATCTAAATAAAAATTCATGAAAACCCATACTTTTTTTGTATCAATTTTTCCTCAATACATGAATTTTCGCAAGCTATTGTAGTGTAATTCATGTTTGAACAATGTTTTCACAAATATATGCATTTTTGGGTTGTTGTAGGTTTTTTCGGGCTGTATGGCCATGGTCCAGAGGCATTCACTCCTGACGTTTCGCCTGCATCTATGGCAAGCATCCTCAGAGGTAGTGAGGTCTGTTGGAACTAGGAAAATAGTGAGGTCTGTTGGAACTAGAAAATATATCTGTGGAATGACCAGGGTGAGACAAAGGACTCTTGTCTGCTGGAGCTAGGTGTGAATGTTTAGCATAACCTTGATTAGCATACAAAGGGCTGACTGTGCCTGGAGCAAACTTTTGTTGAGAGGTAATTAGATGTCCCTGCCTGCTTCCTCTCTGTTGTTGTGCTGTTGCAATTTTTGAGTTTTTTAATACTGGTAGCCAGATTTTGTTCATTTGTTGGTTTCCTCCTTTCTGTTGAAATTGTCCACATGCTTGTGTATTGTATGCTAATCAAGGTGGTCAGTTGAAACATTCACCCATAGCTCCAGCAGACAAGAGCCCTTTGTCATTCCACAGATATATAAACCCTTTTTCCTAGTTCCAACAGACCTCACTACCTCTGAGGATGCTTGCCATAGATGCAGGCGAAATGTCAGGAGAGAATGCCTCTGGATCATGACCAGCAACCTACAGCAACCCAGTGATTCCGGCCATAAAAGCCTTCGACAATATATGCATTTTTTGTGTGCAACTTTCACTAATGCATGCATTTTTTGGTTGGAGAGCTTGATGGCACCATTTTTGAGAAATGCAATTTTTGATGGAGAGTTTCCATTCTTATCTTAGCCTAGAAGTAGCTGGATGTCTTTCTCCTCTCCAGTCAAGGAAGAGTAAATGCAGTTGTGTTTCTATGGGAATGAGGACATTGCATTCCCAAATAAGAATTCTGTCCCCAATGAAATTTTCCTTCCAATCTGAAACTTCTAGTTTTGCAGAAAGCAAGACACTGAAAATTGTCCATGTGCTTTTGCTCTGTATGCAAAGCCTTGATGGCTTTGCTAGTTCCTTTTCTTTGGATGTCTAAAGTGTATTTCTAAAAGCTCAACTAAAACTTTAAGTTACTTAAAGGGAGAGGTCAACCCTCCTGTTTAAGGAGCTCCATTGGCTGCTGTTCATTTACCGGTCCCAATTCAAGGTGCAGGTGCTTACCTACAAAGCCCTAAACGGTTTGGGACCCATCTACCTGCATGACCGCATCTCTGTATACGAACCCACACGATCTCTTCGTTCATCTGGAGAGGCCCTGCTCACGATCCCACCTGCATCGCAAGCGCGATTGGTGGGGACGAAGGACAGGGCCTTTTCGGTGGTGGCCCCACAACTCTGGAATTCCCTCCCCAAGGACATCAGGCAAGCCCCATCATTGACAGTCTTTAGAAGGAGCTTGAAAACATGGATGTTCCAGTGTGCCTTCCCAGAATAAGGAATCCTAAGCAATATGTCCCAAATGCACTTTATGAGAGACTTAGAATGGTCTGCACGCCCACCTATCCTAAAATATCCATCCTATTTCCCTTGGACATGCCCAGCATTTTTAATTTTAACCTTTGCACTTGGCCCTACCACAGGTTTTTAAATGTGTCGTGTCATTATTGTACTGTTTTTTGCTTTGTTATGAATTATTTAATGTTGTTGTTATGTTTTTATGATGTATTTGGGCTCGGCCTTTTGTAAGCCACACCGAGTCCTGCGGGAGATGGTAGCGGGGTATAAATAAAGGATTATTATTATTATTATTATTGAAATGTACCATTATCCAGGCAGAGGCCAAAAGGGGGTGCTAGACAGAGAAGGATAGTCCATTTTACGGAGGGAGGGGGGTTGAAGGAGGGGAGAGAGTTGAAGGAGGAAAACCATTTTCCCCATTTTTGCTGGTTATTCCCTCTCCCCACTTCCTATTTCATACATAGGAGCCCCCGGTGACGCAGTGGGTTAAACCCCAGTGCCGGCAGGACTGAAGGTTCGAATCCGGGGAGAGGCGGATGAGCTCCCTCTGTCAGCTCCAGCTCCTCATGTGGGACATGAGAGAAGCCTCCCACAAGGATGATAAAAACATCAAATCATCCAGGCGTCCCTGGGCAACGTCCTTGCAGACGGCCAATTCTCTCACACCAGAAGCGACTTGCAGTTTCTCAAGTCACTCCTGACACGACAAAAAAAAAAATTCATACATGGCGGATGTTTCCACAAGAGTGACATGGATGGGAGGAATAACAGAAAAACAGGAGGAAAAGGTTTTACTCCTTCAAACCCTCCTTCCCTTGTAAAATGGACTATCCATCTCCCTCTAGCGCCCCCTTTTGATCTCCACCCAGATAATGACACAGTATTTTTTTTTTAAAAAAAAATGGGTAGTAGAAGAATTCATTGGGAAGGGCAGAATCCCTATTTTCAAAGCACAATACACTCTCATCCTCAACTACAACTTTGAGCAAATCTATTGGTAGCAGGACCGATTAGTGGTCAGGGAAATACTTCTTTCTAAGAGCTCTCTCTTTCTCCATCCCGCTTCCAACAACACAACTTGCTTTCGGTTCTTGTGGGTTTTTTCGGGCTATATGGCCATTTTCTAGAGGCATTTCTCCTGACGTTTCGCCTTCATCTATTGCAATCATCCTCAGAGGTAGTTGTAGGTTCTTCGAGCTCTTGTTTGCTGTAAAGCAGTGGTTCTCAACTTGGGGTCCCCAGATGTTTTTGGCCTAAAACTCCCAGAAATCCTAACAGATGGTAAACTAGCTGGGATTTCTGGAAATTGTAGGCCAAAAACATCTGGGGACCCCAGGTTGAGAACCACTGCTGTAAAGGAACAACAGAGAGGAATTGTCAAAGTGCAGTCATCCAGCCATGAAAGCCTTCGACAATACATACAACTTGCTTTGATCCGCATGTAAAACCAACATTGGACCAAATTAACATAGCGACAAAATACGTAGTTCTGTACAAAAGAAATACATGTTGTCTTTGGTATATAATGTCCACGGCTTAGAAAAGAACGTTCGCAGAACAGGGCGCCTTCCCAGGTTCACTTGAAACAATGGAAGGTGCAAATCACAAAATTTACAATAGATTTTAAATAAACTATATTTAGGATTATGACGATTTACAGACATTTAACAAGCAAATGATCTTAAACTGTAAAGACCTTTGAATGTCCCTGAACTATGAAGTATAACTTGGAGACATGCTGTAATAAACACATATATTTGGCTTTTTTTATTATTCTGGCTATATTTTTTTAATATAAAGATGAAACCAAGGAACAATAAATTAGCATCGTAATTGTCTACAATGAAAACGGTGATATACAATATAAATAAACTATTTAAAAGCCAGCAATCTTCATGAAAACAAAACAAAACCCAGACGAACAAAGCGAAGGGAGCAGAGGATCTATACAGTTTCTACAAATGATTGTGCAGCCAATAATCGAAAACTAAAAACAAAACAATTAAAGTGTAAATGAGATTCCCTTTTTTTGATTTTAGTGTCTCACGACATACAGTAATTAAGTACTGGTAAAACAAATTACCAATCAGAAAGCAACATTAAGGAAATCACGGCTTTTCAACATCATCACAGTTCCCCATGCCCTCCTTAGGAACTAACAAATGTAAACATGACAATCTTTTTTTTCTTTTCGGAAAAAAAATGTAAAATATTAATACTTCCCCCACCCCAAACGTGTTGATCCACATCTGTACAGTTACCATTCAGAATTCCGAAATAAGGCAAAGCTTTTCATCACTGTGGCACTACATTTGATAATACTGATAACTTCATTTTGGATAAAGAGATTGTTATTTGTCCTTCTTCAATATTTGTTCTGCAGCAGACTTTGGTCTGCGTCGACATGGCAGGGTTACACTCCTGTCCTCAAATAAAAGATTTTTTTTTTTGCTTTGGAATCGTTTGCCTTAAATTATGTTATTTTTATTCCAATGGCTGTCTAAAACATGGATTGTTCTTCAAGGTAGCAATAATACTAAACAGGTAGCATGACTTTATCAGCTTATATATTTCAATTTCTTTTTCTTTTGCATAGGTTAAAAGCGTTTTTGTCTAACATTTTTAGCTACCTATAGTTTGACCCAGAAGTTAGTTAAAGTTGAACTACTTGGATCTTAGGTGCTGGGAAAGGAGGAGGTTTCTCTTGGGGTAAAGATTAGGCTTGGGCAATCCATGGTTTATTTATTTATTATTTATTTATTTATTTACTGCATTTGTTGACCGCCGCTCTCAGCCCTGGGGCGACTCGCGGCGGTGTAACCATGGTTCTAAATGGTTCTAAAGTACTTACAAAACTAAAGTTCTGGTGGTGAAAATTTCAGAACTCTAACAAAACTCTCAAAATTTCATAATAAATGGCAGTTCCTAATTGGTTCTGTCATTAAAATCACCAATAATGAAATAATAATTAAATTTTGAAATTTTGTTAGAGTTCTGAAATTTTCACCACCAGAACTTTAGTTTTGTAAGTACTTTAGAACCATTTAGAACCATGGATTGCCCAAGCCTAGTAAAGATGTCTGTTTTTTTTTTTTTGGTCGTGTCAGGAGCATCCTGTTGTGAGAAAATTGGCCGTCTGCAAGGATATTGCCCAGGGGACGCCCGGATGATTTTTGATGTTTTATCATCCTTGTGGGAGGCTTCTCTCATGTCCCCGCATGAGGAGCTGGAGCTGATAGACGTAGCTCATCCGCCTCTCCCCGGATTCGACCCTGCGACCTGTCGGTCTTCAGTCCTGCCAGCACAGGGCTTTAACCCAGTGCGCCACCGGGGGCTCCTAAGATGGCTGTTACATTGGCAATAGGGAATGTGTGATCGGAAAATGCATAGCATTTTTTTCTCTTGCACGGCTGAGATGTAACTGTGAACGTTGTCAAATTTTCAAAATTGGAGTATTTCCCCCTTGGGCCAAACCATGGTATGCATGTATCCAAGAGGTAGAGATGGAGGAAAAAGGATATACCCTTTAAATGCCAGATTCATCAATCTCACAGACCCTGGTAGAATGAAGACATAAAGACATAGCATTTTGTTTATTTTAAATGTTAATTTTAGCATGCATTTGTTACCTCTGAACCTTCCAGGGTTTCTGTGCTTGATCAACTCAAGAAAAAAACCTGGCCAGAATCATGTTGGGCAATTATGAATGAGATACCTACATTTAAATAATTGACTTTTTTGTATTCACAATCCCTATGTAGCCCTTAGTTTAGGGCAGGGGTCCTCAAAGTATGGTCTGGGGGCCGGATACGGCCCTTGAAAGCACACCATATCTCATCAGCCAAAAACAGGTCCATACTTCCCATTGAAATACTAATAAGTTTATATTTGTTAAAATTGTTCATTTTAATTATTATATTATTTTGCACTACAAATAAGTGCAGTGTGCATAGGAATTCATTCATTTTTTTCAAATTATAATCCAGCCCTCCAACAGTTTGAGGGACTGTGACCTGGCCCTCTGTTTAAAAAGTTTGAGGACCCCTGGTTTAGGGGCAGAGGCGGCCCTAGGTAATTTTCAGTGGTAAGCAAACAGTATTTTGGCGCCCCCCCCCCAACCAATAATTGATAATGGAGCAGGAACAAGAGGGGCTAGGCGAGGCTCAAGGGCCCGGCCCCTTCAGGAAGAGGATCGCCCGGCAATGAGGCAAAGAAGCCGAGGCTCCCCCGGACTGCTAGGGCTGTTGTGAGCCAAGGGGGCTCTCCTCAAGTGGTGGTCGAGGGGCATTTACAGAGGCGCCTCTGCGCCCCTGGCAAAAAAAGTGTACTGCGACTGCTTACTTTGCGTAATAGACGAGCCACCCCTGTTTAGGGGATACACAGAGACTGTGAAATTAGTCCAATGATCTACTTACTGGGATCTGTTTTGTTATCATTTGGTAAGCAGAAGTCTGATGGTCTTATTCTCCACCTGCATGAGGGGAAATATGATAGAGGTCCTGCTTTAGCCTATAACACCAGATATTATTGATGGACGGGTTGGGGACATCAGTCAGCCACTTCCTGAGTGACATGGGAACAGACTTCCATCAATTGTATCACTGTTGCCCAATATATGGTGACTGGGGAAAATCAAGACATAGAGCAGTGGTTCTCAACCTGTGAATCCCCAGGTGTTTTGACCTACAATTCCCAGAAATCCCAGCCAGTTTACCTGTTGTTAGGATTTCTGGGAGTTGAAGGCCAAAACATCTGGGGACCCACAGGTTGAGAACCACTGACATAGAGCAATAACTATGGCGCTTATGCAACCATAACTTCCCAACATAATTCTGGTCACACTCTTTTAAAATAGATTAAAACAATGTTTTATAACAACTCTTAAAACTATCAGAAAGTCTGCTTGGTTCTAAGGTCTTGTATGAAACAGACCAGTCTTGGGTCTCTATCTTGGTATAGCCAGAGTTCAAATTTGGTTTAATATAGGTTGAGTTTGGAGTTGAATTCGATAAGTCATGGTTAGAACCTCATGACAACCTATTTGTTTCAGGTTGCTTTTGATGGTCTCGGTTAGCTCATGACAACAAAAAGGTCTGGCAGTGCATATTAGCATGTGAACTTGCCCTAACACAGTAATAGTGGACTTTTTATACTTTTGGATTGTAACTCCAAAGGTTCCTCACTTCTGGCTATACTGATCAGGATGATGAGAACTGCTGTCCAAGAACAGCTCAATTTGCCCAAAATGCCATCCTCATATCACCTCATATCAATGTTTTTGTTTGACTTTGTGGGTGATGTACTGCATACGTCTGTGCCAATTCAGAAATCAACTACAGTTGATAGATATTTTTTGGGTTGTTGTAGGTTTTTTCGGGCTATATGGCCATGGTCCAGAGGCATTCTCTCCTGACGTTTTGCCTGCATCTATGGCAAGCATCCTCAGAGGTAGTGAGGTCTGTTGGAACTAAGAAAAAGGGTTTATTTATCTGTGGAATGACCATGAGAATAAAGATGAAAATCCACCCAGAGGAAAAGTGTTCTTGCCATACATCAAGGGAACCACTGACCGCACAGGGAAGCTGATGAGGAAACACAACATACAAAGTATCTACAGACCCACCAAGAAAATCCAACAAATGCTATGTTCAGGAAAGGAGAAGAGGGATCCTCTCACTTCTGCAGGAGTCTACCATGTACCATGCAGCTGTGGACAAGTCTACATAGGGACCACCAAACGCAGCATTGCCCAAACATGAATCAGGGAACATGAAAGGCACTGCAGACTCCTTCAACCAGAGAAGTCAGCCATAGCAGAGCACCTGATGAACCAACCTGGACACAGCATTTTATTTGAAAACACAGAAATGCTGGACCACTCCCACAACCACCATGTCAGACTACACAGAGAAGCCATTGAAATCCACAAGCATGTGGACAATTTCAACAGAAAGGAGGAAACCATGAAAATGAACAAAATCTGGCTACCAGTATTTAAAAACTCTAAAATTAGAACAGCACAACAACAGAGAGGAAACAAAGAAGGGCATCTAATCACCTCTCAACAAAAGTATGCTCTAGACAATGTCCGGCCATTATATGCTAATCAAGGTGGTCAGTTGAAACATTCACACCTAGCTCCAGCAGACAAGAGTCCTTTGTCTCACCCTGGTCATTCCACAGATATATAAACCCATTTTCCTAGTTCCAACAGACCTCACTACCTCTGAGGATGCTTGCCATAGATGCAGGCGAAACGTCAGGAGAAATGCCTCTAGACCATGGCCATATAGCCCGAAAAAACCTACAACAACCCAGTGATTCTGGCCATGAAAGCCTTCGACAATACAGAGATATTTTCTGTTCTTTATGTCTATATAGATACTCACAGGATGTGGAAGAAGTCACAGAACAGAAGGTTAGCAGAGGATAATTTGAGGTCATATGGATAAAATTACCTTTCAAAATCCAAGTAATTCTCTTTAGCTTGGTTACAGGTCAAATATGGCAGGTCAAGAAATGCAACCACTTGACATCCCTATGAGGAAATACTGATTTAGTTCAAGATGATGCCCAAGAAACTGAGTAGTATCCACAAGCTTATTTGGCACGAAAAGCTTTCAGAAGCCATTCCAGCAATGACCGAGCCAGTGCATTGGAAAAACGGTCCACTGATGGGTGCTTTGGATCAGCTTAATTTCGATTCTTGTAGCCATTCTTCCTTCCTTTGCTGGAAGAGGGATACTGCCTGGCTGAATGACATGAACACAATGGCAAAAAACCAAACTTTGGACACATTAGAATGTCACACTAAACCTATGGCCAGATCCCACCCCGATATTAATGATATTTGAAGGCCCAAGTCAGATAGTCCAAAAAAAATTAAAAACCCCAGAAGAGAACAAAAAAGCAAAACAAAACCCAACAACCCAGCCTTTATTTGTTTGTTTTGGTGGTGCTACTAGATATACATAATATGAAAGTGACCAATGACAGTTCTTTAATACAGATTGGTGTCACTCTCTCTTTCTTTTTTTGGAGAAATAAGAATCCAGTCCTTAGAAGGATGACAAAGGAAGGCTGCCATTTTGCATCCTTTGGAGGAGTTTTCAGTCCTGGTAGCCATTGAAGGGATGTAACTCATATAGGTCCCTTTTGAGTAATAGAGATAAGATTTGATCCTACATTTCTCCATAGTGGTAACCGACAATGTTTTAACTTACAAGAATCACGAGTTCAGTTCCGTTTCATTTCATCTGACATTGTCAGTGGTATCTGCATCTGTTCATAACCTCCTTCCACTCTGATGATGATCAAAGTCCTTCGGGGAGCCTCTGTAGTGTTTGATTCACAGTTTTGCAATACAAATACCCTGATACATCACTTATTTGCCATTAAGTATTAGATTATTATACCATTTTTGATTTTTGTAATCTTTGTTTTTTTTTGCTAAGTTCCTTTCAACCAAGTTCTTTTAATTAGTATTGCTTGGAGCAGTTCAGAGTAATTCCCCCCTTTTCTTGTCTCAAAAACTGTGTAAAAGGATATAATTTATGCTCTCTTTGCATGCAGCATTTCAATGAGGAGGTTATTACACGGCACATCCCCGTTCAGGTGTTTGTAGTAGAGGTATTCTTCCGCTTGCATACTGATGCCCCGTATTTCCGGGAGTCGCAGGAGAAGCTGGCCAAATTTGTCTGTCTGCTGCGGGTAGTTGCACATTGTATAGTCCAGCAAAGCAGCGTTCACTTGTTCTTGCACTCCTTCCACCAGCTGGAAGTTCTCTAGGTTTTTGACATCTGAATAAAAGTGGTTTTTTTTTAGAAAAAGAGACAACACAGAGAATTAGTACATTGATTTTTCTTTTGAAAAATGCACTTACAGTCATGTAATAATAATAATAATAATAATAATAATAATAATAATAATAATAATTTTTGTCGTGTCAGGAGTGACTTGAGAAACTGCAAGTCTCTTCTGGTGTGATAGAATTGGGCGTCTGCAAGGACGTTGCCCAGGGGACGCCCAGATGATTTGATGTCTTTATCATCCTTGTGGGAGGCTTCTCTCATGTCCCCGCATGAGGAGCTGGAGGTGATAGAGGGAGCTCATCCGCCTCTCCCCGGATTCGAACCAGTGACCTGTTGGTCTTCAGTCCTGCTGGCACGGGGGTTTTACCCACTGCGCCACCGGGGGCTCCATAATAATAATAATAATAATAATAATAATAATAATAATAATCCTTTATTTATACCCCGCTACCATCTCCCGCAGAACTCAGTGCAGCTTACAAAAGGCCGAGCCCAAATACATCATAAAAGCATAACAACATCAATACATCGATAAATAACTCATAACAAAGCAAAAAACAATACAGTAATGACACAACACATTTAAAAACCTGTGGCAGGGCCAAGTGCAAGAGTTAAAATTAAAAATGCTGGGCATGTCCAAGGGAAATAGGATGGATATCTTAGGACAGGTGGGTGTGCAGACAATTCTGAGTCTCTCATAAAGTGCATTTGGGACATATTGCTTAAAATTCCTTATTCTGGGAAGGCACACTGGAACATCCATGTTTTCAAGCTCCTTCTAATAACAGTGATGGGCAACCTTTTGAGCTTGGTGTATCAAAGTTCACCAAAAAGCAAGCGTTACTTGGGTGGGGTGTCACTTCGAGAAAAAAACCCTATAATTTTGCGATATTTATAGTTTAAATAACAAAAATGTATAATAATAATAGGTAAAGGTAGTCCCCTGACATTAAGTCCAGTCATGTCTGACTCTGGGGTGTGGTGCTCATCTCCATTTCTAAGCCGAAGAGCCAGCGTTGTCCGTAGACACCTCCAAGGTCATGTGGCTGGCATGACTGCATGGAGCGCAGTTACCTTCCTGCTGGAGCGGTACCTATTGATCTACTCACATTTGTATGTTTTCGAACTGCTAGGTTGGCAGAAGCTAGGGCTGACAGCGGAAGCTCACGCCGCTCCCCGAAATCGAACCTGCGACCTTTTGATCAACAAGCTCAGCAGCTCAGTGCTTTAACCCACTGAGCCACCGGGGGTCCCTATAATAATAATATATGGCGGGAAATTGCACCCGTAACTCAGACTCTCGCCTCTCCCAGCTCCCTCCTCCCCTCACTTTTCTCAGTAATGATGGTCACTTAGAAATCCACAACACCCCAGAACAGTACATTGGATGATGGTTGATGTGATTATGTGGTTGCTGGTGATGGAGATCACAGGGCCCCCAGAGATGTGTCCCCCACGGCATTCCGCTGCTCCCTGCTACCCCAACCGGAAGTGAGGCCAAAGATTCTCTAACGGCCTAACTGGAAGTTCCTGAACTAGACGCTAAACTACTGCAAATGTTTTATCCTCGGCTTCTGCACCTGGCCATGCAGGAGCCGAGGATGAAATGTCCTTCTTGAGATGCAGACCCAAACTTCTTTGTATGCAGCGGCATGCAGCCGCGTGTCATTGAAAATGTCTATGCGTGTCAGTGCTGACACGCATGTCATAGGTTCGCCATCATGGTTCTAAAGATAGCCAATGATGGGGCTTGCCTGATGTCCTTGGGGAGGGAATTAAAGAGTTGTGGGGCCACCACCGAAAAGGCCCTGTCCCTCGTCCCCACCAATCGCGCTTGCGATGCAGGTGGGATTGTAAGCAGGGCCTCTCCAGATGAATGAAGAGATCGTTTGGGTTCGTATACAGAAATGTGGTCATGCAGGTAGATGGGTTCCAAACCGTTTAGGGCTTTGTAGGTAAGCACCTGCACCTTGAATTGGGTCCGGTAAATGAACGGCAGTCAATGGAGCTCCTTAAACAGGAGGGTTCACCTCTCCCTGTAAGGAGCACCAGTTAACAACCTGGCCGCCGCCCATTGGACCAGCTGAAATTTCTGGGCCGTTTTCATTGGCAGCCCCACGTAGAGTGCATTAGAGCAATCCAATCTGGAGGTGACTAAGGCATGGACCACCCTGGCCAGATCCGCCTTCACGAGGTACGGTCGCAGTTGGTGCACGAATCTCAATTGTGCAAAGGCCCTCCTGCCCACCGCCGACGCCTGAGCTTCAAATGTAAGTGATGAGTCCAGGAGGACACCCAAACTGCGGACGTGTGACTTCAGGGGGAGTGTAACCTCGTCCAGCACAGGTTGCTACTCTATACCTCGATCTGGTTTACGATCGACCAGGAGGACCTCTGTCTTGCCAGGATTAATCTTCAACTTGTTCCTCCTCATCCAGCCAGCCACAGCGGCCATGCATTCATCCAGCACCCGAGAGGCTTCCTTGGAGTTAGGTGGAAAAGAGTAGTAGAGTTGTGTGTCATCTGCGTAGAGATGGCACCCAACTCCAAAACTCTGGATGACTTCTCCCAGCGGTTTCATGTAGATGTTAAAAATGTTTACTAAAAGGGTGTTTCAATTAACGACTACATTTTCCTCTTGACAAAAGAATACTTTCCATGCTGCTGAATATTCAGCAAAATCCCTCTGCCCCATTTCTTGAGAACATGATCATAGCGCAGCTTTCGCAAAGCGTCTTGTTGAAATTCCGCGTATACCTCAGATCAATTAGACACCAATGGATTGTGAGCAAGGTCAACTCTTTTTTCTCCACATATCTCATGGAGGGAAAGGTTGACGATTCCTAATATACAGGACTGTAATATATTGCCAGCAAATGAGTCCCCAGAGGAAGTCGTAGCTTTAACCCGATATATTACACAATTCATATAATTCTGTATTAATTTTTCTGACCCAAGGTGAAATCTCTGTCCAGGGTATGGTGTAGTTAATTCTAATACAAAATGACAGGGTTCTTGTTTCTTTTTGACATTTTCTAAATTATTCTGCGAGCCTTTGACTTGTCTACTCTTATGCTAATGAACCATCTGGTACACTCCAGTGGCTGCCAAAATCACCGGCCTGACCTGAAATCCTCAAAAATATATTTTTCAATTATTACAATTTCTCTCTCCTTCACCTCAAATACAACCACTGTCCTTTAGGCAGATTGACAAGAACTTTTTATGTTTTTTGAATGCTGATATGTTATGTTTTCAGTTCTGAATATTTCTGGAGGTAACATTATAGAGAACTCCTATGCTCATTTCCTTTTTTGCTGCAGTGAAAAAGTAATGCTGGAGAAGTAGCTGCAGAGAATGTGATAAGCTGGAGTATCTCGCTTCCTCAAAGTAATTCAGGTTGTCAGAAGGACTGAATACATATAGACTGAGATAGAAATACTTATAATAGGAGTCAAATTCAAAAAACATAGTCATATTACTGGGTTTTTGTAGGTTTTTCGGGCTATATGGCCTCTGAGGATGCTTGCCATAGATGCAGGTGAAACGTCAGGAGAGAATGCTTCTAGAACAGGGGTCCTCAAACTTTTTAAACCGGGGGCCAGCTTACTGTCCCTCAGATCAATAAAAAAATTCATATGCACATTGCACATATCTTATTTTGCTGTGTGGAAGGGCCCTTAGAGGGGGTTCTTTCTAGTCCTCTTTAGGCAGTAATTCCAGGAGCAGAGAATGGGAAATCTTCCTATTTCTAGTCTGAACAAAATCTGGCTACCAGTATTTAAAAAACTCTAAAATTATAACTATAAATAAAGAACAACACACAAACACAGAGGAACTCCAGACAAGAAACAATCAGGGCCAGCTAATCACCTCTCAACAAAGGATTCTCCCTAAAAACTGTCAGGCTATGAAATGGTAATCAAGGTAGCCAATTGAAACATTCATACCTACCTCCAACAGACAAGAGTTCTTTCTCCCACCCTGGATCTTCCACAATTTTCCTGGTTAAAGGTTTTCCTCTGACATGAAGTCCAGTCGTGTCTGACTCTGGGGTGTGGTGCTCATCTGCATTTCTAAGTCGAAGAGCCGGCATTGTCCGTAGACACCTCCAAGGTCATGTGGCTGGCATGACTGCATGGAGTGCCGGGGCAGCCTCCCTTGGCTGGCTCACGCTGTCCATCAGGCCTGACGGATAGCGTGAGCCTGCCAAGGGAGGAGCAGCCCTGTGCGGCCTACTTGCGAGTAAAGCACCTCGTGAGGTGCTTTACGGGCGAGTAGGCCATGCGGAGCAGCTGCCCTTGGCTGGCTCACGCTGTCCATCGGGCCTGCCAAGGGAGGAGCAGCCCCGTGCGGCCTACTTGCGAGTAAAGCACCTCGCGAGGTGCTTTACGGGCGAGTAGGCCATGCGGAGCAGCTGCCCTTGGCTGGCTCACGTTGTCTATTGGGCCTGACGAATAGTGTGAGCCAACCAATGGAGGGGCACTGTGTGGGGGAGGGGGGGGCGCTCTTCATCCGTGGCCCAGTTAAGGGCCCTTGGCGGGCTGGAAGTGGCCCATGGGCCGTAGTTTGGGGACCCCTGTTCTAGAACATGGCTATACAGCCCAAAAAACCTACAACAACCCAGTGATTCTGGCCATGAAAGCGTTCAACAATACATAGTCATATTAGTCTGGAATATCAGTTTGCAAAGGGATCTTGTAGCAACTTAGAGAGTAACATTGGTAGCATAAGCTTTCATAGACTGAGATGACTTCCTCAGATGCTCAAAGTGAAGTGCCCTAGAACAGGCCATTATATGCACACAAAAGTCATAGAAATACAAAACTTGAGAATATGGTGATAAGGTGACAAAATAGTTTTAACTTTGTGGGACAATAACAGGAGGAAAGATGTTGCCTAAAGCAATAGTGAATAGGTGACCATATAAATTGTGGCGTGATTTATTGGAATGTAGTGTGATGCTTACTGGGAACAAGAACAAT